GTGGCCAAAAACAAACCTCAATTTGACTCCACAAATGATTAGAAAATTAAACAAATGTTCCTAATTCTACTAGTATATGGGCAGCTTTAGTGTATGCTGGTTTGACATTACCACACTAGTTCAGTGATTTTTGCAGTGGAATTCTAATTTCTCCCCTTTATAAATATCTATCATTAAAAAATAGTTCAGATAAAACTAATGGGACTGAAAAAAGGTCAAACACTTGAATGTGAAGGGTCGAGTTCACCCTCAAACAAGCTCTGTAAACATTTGAAATATCTAAAGCAAAAAAGGCAGCAAATTAACCATTTAACCATTAGCCGCCCGGCCAATGGCCGTTTGGCGGCTTGAAAAGCGCTGCAGCTTTCCGGGTGCACGCCATTTGGCGTGCTCCCGCACATGCGCGGTTTGCGCGGTTGCAGAGCGACGCAGGAGTGCGATCTGTCACCGCCCGTGCACCTCGGACACGGCCGATGACAGATCCGAGTACCGGCTCCCGTTGCCGGTACCATGTGACCTGCTGTGACCAATCACAGCAGGTCACATGACAGTTGTATACAATGGATGGCTTCATTCATGATGCCATCCATTGTATACTAGTGCCTAGCTGTGAATGGTCACAGCTAATCACATGCACATGTCATGTGATTAGCTGTGACCAAATCACAGCTAAGCACAAAAAAAAAAAAAAAAAAGCTGAATGAATCGATTTCATTCAGGTAAATGCTTGCTTATAGCAAAGTAATACTTTGCTATAAGCAAATTGTGTAAAAAAAAAAAAAAATACTGATCACTTCCCCAAAGTAGTACAGTGTTACTATGGTAACATTGTACTATTTTGGTCATAGTAAAATATGAAAAAAAATCTTAAAATAAATTTAAAAAAATGTAATAAAAAATTAAATATAATAAAAAAATTAAAAAAAATTAAAAAAATATATATATATTTTTTTTTCATACTGTCACCAGTCAGTGTCGCTGTTCACCGCCATGCCAGTTATATGATGACGCTGTACTGCACTGGTGACAGTATGTAAAAAAAAAAATAGTGAAAATAATTTTTTAAATTTTTTCATTTTCCGAAAAATTATGACAAAAAAATACAACTTCAAAAAACTCGCCATGCCTCTTATGAAGTACGTCGGACTGTCTACTCTGCAAAAAGGGGTCATTTGGGGATATCTGTACTATTCTGACATTCTTGGACCTCAAGATATTAGATTGGCTGTCAGTACTTCAGGATTGATCAATATTCAGATATATCCCATAGTTTGTGAACTCTATAACTTTCCTACAAACTAAAAAATACATTCTAATTTGGGTTATTTTCACCAAAGACATGTAGCAGAATACATCTCGGCCTAAATTTATGAAGAACAATTATTTATTTGTAAACTTTTATAACAGAAACAAAGAAAAATGTGGTTTTTTTTCAAAATTTTTGGTCTTTTTTTGTTAATTTAGCAAAAAATAAAAACCCCAGCGGTGATTAAATACCACCAAAAGAAAGCTCTAGTTGTGTGAAGAAAATGATCAAATTTTAGTTTGGGTACAATGTTGTATGACCGCGCAATTGTCATTCAAAGTGTGAGAGCGCTGAAACCTGAAAACTGGCCTGGGCAGGAAGGTGTAAAATTGCACGGTATTGAAACGGTTAAACCTTTATAAATAAATCTGTTGGATACACACAAGCATGAACACTGGCTGCTATCCTAGGTAAGTAAAAACTGTATTAAAACTGAGCATCACACAGAGAACACCATACAGGTGAAACTCGAAAAATTAGAATATCGTGCAAAAGTTCATTTATTTCAGTAATGCAACTTAAAAGGTGAAATTAATATATGAGATAGACTCATTACATGCAAAGCAAGATAGTTCAAGACGTGATTTGTCATAATTGTGATGATTATGGCTTACAGCTCATGAAAACCCCAAATCCACAATCTGAGAAAATTAGAATATTACATGCAATCAATAAAACAAGGATTGTACATAGAACAATATCGGACCTCTGAAAAGTATAAGCATGCATATGTACTCAGTACTGGGTTTGGGCCCCTTTTGCAGCAATTACTGCCTCAATGCGGCGTGGCATGGAAGCTATCAGCCTGTGGCACTGCTGAGGTGTTATGGAAGACCAGGATGCTTCAATAGCGGCCTTCAGCTCTTCTGCATTGTTCGGTCTCATGTCTCTCATCTTTCTCTTGGCAATGCCCCATAGATTCTCTATGGGGTTCAGGTCAGGCGAGTTTGCTGGCCAATCAAGAATAGTAATCCCACGGTCACTGAACCAGGTTTTGGTGCTTTTGGCAGTGTGGGCAGGTGCAAAGTCCTGCTGGAAAATGAAGTCAGCATCCCCATAAAGCTCGTCTGCAGAAGGAAGCATGAAGTGCTCCAAAATCTCCTGGTAGATGGCTGCATTGACCCTGGACTTAATGAAGCACAGTGGACGAACACCAGCAGATGACATAGCTCCCCAAATCAACACAGACTGTGGAAACTTCACACTGGACTTCAAGCATCTTGCAGTATGTGCCTCTCCATTCTTCCTCCATATTCTGGGTCCTTGGTTTCACCAAATGAGATGCAAAAGTTGCTCTCATCAGAAAAGAGGACTTTGGACCACTGAGCAGCAGACCAGGTCTGTTTTTTATTTAGCCCAGGTAAGACGCTTCTGACGTTGTTTGTTGTTCAGGAGCGGCTTGACAAGAGGAATACGACATTTGAAGCCCATGTCCAGGATCTGTCTGTGTGTTGTGGCTCTTGATGCACTGACTCCAGCCTCAGTCCACTCCTTGTGAAAGTCCCCAACACTTTTGAATGGCCTTTTCCTGACAATCCTCTCCAGGCTGCAATCATCCCTGCTGCTTGTACACCTTTTTCTTCCACACTTTTCCCTTCCACATAACTTTCTATTAATGTGCTTTGATACAGCACTTTGGGAACATCCAACTTCTTTTGCAATTACCTTTTGAGGCTTTCCCTCCTTATGGAGGGTGTCAATGATGGTTTTCTGCACAACTGTCAGGTCAGCAGTCTTTCCCATGATTGTGATTCCTACTGAACCAGACTGAGAGACCATTTAAAGGCTCAGGAACCCTTTGCAGGTGTTATGGCTTAATTAGCTGATTAGAGTGGGACACTTTGAGCCTAGAATATTGCACCTTTTCACAATATTCTAATTTTCTGAGATTGTGGATTTGGGGTTTTCATGAGCTGTAAGCCATAATTATCACAATTATGACAAATCACAGCTTGAACTATCTTGCTTTGCATGTAATTAGTCTATCTCATATATTAGTTTCACCTTTTAAGTTGCATTACTGAAATAAATGAACTTTTGCACGATATTCTAATTTTTTGAGTTTCACCTGTATAAACAATAAAATGTTTATTTGGTATTTATGCCAATGCTGTGTAAACATGCTTGTTTGTTTCAAACACATGCAGCGGATGAATTACTTCCATCTTCCTTTCCCAAAATGTACTTCTTACTGGTGGCCAAAGACTTAGAAAGTATTACAGCATGCCATCCAAGCTAACAGAATTTAGAAATTTAGGTCAGCAAAGCCAGCCCAGATATTTCTCTCATGAGAGGTTTACTTTAAAGACCTATTCATGTATGTGCTGTTGAAAGTGCATTTCATTATATGCATCATGTCACACTTTAACAATCAATAAAAAGTGAATTTCAACTCACATGCACATGCGCATCACAAAGCCTTGGCATGCATTTAGATTGGTTTCTATTTATATAAATCCAGTTCAGAAAAATACTAATGATATTACATGGAGAAGGTTTTTTGAAAATAGACATTTTTATTATATGGTTCAAAGAGGTTGCATTTCAATACTATATAAGTAGTTAATTACTACATCTAGCAAGGTGCCCTATAAACTGGCATGGGAAAGGGACCTATGAAAATAGAATTCAATTAAGAAGATTGGAGGGATTGGACCTCTTGAATTTACAAAGGAATTATGAACATGGTTTTGATTGAAGCTAGTTATAAAGTTTTTTTCTAGATGATAGTTTCCAATCCTCTCTCTATAATGTCCCCCGCGTCTTCTTCCTCTTGTTTCTGAGGATGAGGACAGGTAGGAACTGTACTACAGATATGGTGGGGACCTGCCGGTCCGACGTTTTGAATGCAAGTACATTCCCTGATATATTCAATCACTATGGTGAATATCAAGAAAAATGTGCATTATTGTTTCTGGGCTGTACTACGGGTACAAACAGCTAACATGTGGTATCACTGTGATAATCAGAAGCACGAGAATTTATTTTGGCTTATTCTTTGGTAGTAGTTTATGGTAGTTGCAAGAAATATACAGCTACATTAAAAAAATGATTTTGTAATACTATTTTGGGACAGTTTTTCTTTGATTAGAAAAAAAAAAATTAGGAGATATCCAGTAACATTTACCAACAAATGAACGCCCAATTTGTCTTGAAAAAAAACAAGCCTGGATGCAAAAAGTAGTTGTGATGATATGTACGGTTTTACGAACACATGTCAAAATTGTAAATTTGTACTTAGGCATTAACATTTGTTATACCCATAGGCGTGAATGGGTTAAGAGACCTTTGTACTGAGCTTAATTTTACTTGTCATCTGGAGGAGATACATGCAAATTCTTTTTTTGGTCATGTATGAGCATATTGCCACTCTAGCAGTGGTTGGTACCATGATGATAGGTTTCGGTAGTGACACTTCCCTTCACAGTGCAATACCTCTCTTGTATTTGTACTGACTTTTGTTCAAGTTCTTATCAGAATGTGATTCAGGATATGTTATGCAGAATATCTTCCAGAAAATGTCTCCTGTTCCACTTTTGGGCACTTTTTCAGGTATCTGTATCGGTTTTGTAAAACACTTTTTTATGGAAAACCTAATAAATACTATTGAAAAAGTACATTTTTACCTGCCTGATTTCCTATAGTATAACATAATTATAACTGTTAGTTTTGTAGTCAATTTATGGAAACATACCGTTCGAAAGACAACCCAATCCCTATGTCGGTATTCAAGTGTGCCCCCGAATTCTGGTGTCAGCTGCTTTTCATCGATGTACTTTAACAAGTCCGATGCAGAACTAAGCATAACCACCTACAAAAAGAGAGTAGAAGGTTCACATACAATATATAGGCTGGCACAGGTACAAGGACAAACTAATGAGTATCTATAGCCAATCCTATTTATAGAAGATTTCAGTCTCGCCGCTGTTCCAGGGTAAACTCTTAAACGTACTTGCAAAAACTGTATTAGGTTTTTCTAGGCTTTGTAGAAAGTGCCCTTTTAGACTAACACAAAACTTTTGGCAAGCAAAGAAAATATCAAAAATACTCTACCGGGAGCTTGAGAATGAAGTCCTCTTGACTGAACCGGAATCCAATGTCAGTGAAGGTGCGCTGGAAAAATCCCGATGGCCTTAAGACCAAAACTAGATGAAGGTTTCCAGGAAATGAATGCTAAAAAGAAAAAAATTATATACAAATATAATATGCAAAAGCTCACAGAAGAGTTCACAGAAAGTGATAACATTTAGAAAGGCAGTTTGAATAATTATCGCAAAATTCAGTGAACCTGATTGTCTTGACTAAATAAAGGATTAATTAAAAATTTATTGAGACTAGAAAAGCTGGCAAGACAATAATATTAAAAGATCATTACTTCGACCATTGGTAATATTGTTTTTATATATACATATACATATATATATATATATATATATATATATATATATATACAGTCGAACATCAAATTGAAGGTAAATATATTCTTTTTCTGCGTGCCAATTTGAATAGAGAAATAATATGTGAGTATACACACACACACACGGGTGATTTTTGATAGAGTAATCATCTTTGATGATCACCACATGAATACCTGCTAGTGGGAAACAATGAAGTGTAGCATGTAGTAGTGATTAATCACTAATGATAGCACAATGCTTAAAATCAATCACTAGCAAAAATTGCATCCAGCCTTAGGTCATTTCCACACAGGCCTGTAGCAAATCGATTCTAATCATATTTTTTTCAAACCTTGGGAAGGAAAATGGAGACATTGTACATACAACTATTTTTTATATGTACGGCTTTTTCTCCAAACGTGATTGGCCAACATTTGCCAGCGTCTGGATTTTTCCAATCTTCAATGGGAAATGCAAGACACTCTAAATTTCCTTATATCAGTGCTTATTCCAGATTTGATTCAAACATATTCTATTTTAAAATGTTATCTTTTAGTCTATATAGAGTTGGGTCATACTCAATAATACTAACTCACATATGACCACAATTATTTCCAATTAGACACACTGAAAATTAAGTTTTAGCTTGAGATCTTCTTTTGCATACAAAGGCATGCGTGTTATCGAAAATGTTATAAACCAGCAAATATATGTGTGGGTATAGGTCTGTGTATAGGTCTACATCTGCCCATTTTGTGCACGTATGTTTCTAATGCCTGTTTTTCTGATATTATAGATCTATAAGCAATGTTCATTCAAAATCACATAGAAAAAGCAGTAATTGCAGCCTAGCCTAAGAAATCAGAAACATGTTCCATGGAACTTTAGGACAGCCTTTAAAGTGGTTGTAAAGACATAAGGTTTTTTGCCTTCATGCATTCTAAAAAACATTCTGTGTGTAGCAGCCCACCCCTAGAGCCCCTAACACTTACCTGAGGCCCATCCTGATCCAGCGATGTCCACTAGAGCCTCGGTTCTCCAGGGACTCTCACTCCTAATTGGCTAAGGCAGCAGTAGGAGCCACTGACTGTCAATCAAAGGCAGTGAGCCAATCAGGAGAGGGAGGGGGCAGGGCTGAGCCATGGCTCTGTGTGTGCATGGACACGCAGAGCCATGGCTCAGAAGCACGCCTGCTTGGGTGCCCCCTAAGCAGGTTACTTGCTATGGGGGCACCCGACAGGAGGGAGGGCCAGGAGCGCTGGCGGGGGACCCAAGAAGAAAACCACTGCACAGAGCAGTTACATTTGACTTTAGTATCACTTTTTAATTCATAACATTACTTTCAGCATCTCCACAATAACCCACATTCACTGCTGTCCTCTGCCATAGTCTTTAGACTGTGAAAAAAAACCCAAGCATCCAAAGAAAACCCTTCACCTTCCTACTGGCTATTATATATTTATTTGTTACAGTTATATATATAGTTTCATCAATTTACGCAGCGTTTTTACGTATATATATATATTGTACATTCACATTAGTCCCTAACCCTCAAGAAGTGTACAATCTAAGGTCCTTAACTCACTATCATAAATACACATACTAGGGCCAATTTAAACTGGATCCAATTAACCTAACAGCCTGTCTTTGCATGTACTCCCTGTGCCTGCGTGGGTTTCCTCTGGGTACTCCTGTTTTCTCCAACACTCCAAAGTATGACACATTTGCCCTTAAATAAACTGAAGGGAGATTCAAGCTCTAAACACCCAGCCATAACCAATGTTTCAGCTTTGAGTGGATATATTCCTCAGCCAATGGAAACCAACATGTGTTCAATCTTCATAAATGCATGGAGCAGCCATTTCATGATTAGATCCCTAGCTCTACTTATAGGGACTTCTGCAATAACTGAAAACCAGTAGTACCTACACTGCTGAATCTTTGTAAAATAGGATTTTTGTATTTACTGTAAATTTATGTTCTTGAGTCCACCGAGGGACACAGAAGGCCATATTCTGTTGGGTTATATTGCCATCTACAGGAGCATTCAGTACTGACAAACATAGAATCTGTACAAATCAGTGCTAGGAGTATGACTATAAACACAGAGGGCTGGGACCTGTGGCCTTCAAAAGGATTTTACAGTGAGTACAAAAATCCTACTTTTTTTGTTTATCAAGGGACAAAGAAGTCATATACTGTTGGGATATCCAAAAGCAGTTCAACTTCATCGACTAGTTACCACAACCTGTGAAGGATGTGAAACTTACTCCAAAATCCAGAAGAGATCTAAGCATTTGATTCTACAAAGGCAGCATGAATGAAGGGGTAAGGTTTTCATGAGATGAAAGTCTGAACCTAACCATAAACCATTCCCCTGATCCAATGAAGGTAATCCCTGTTCCTTGTAGTGGATACCTGCATCAGGAGTGCGTGTGTATGTGTGACACTGGTTTTGGCAATAAGTAGCCTATTTAAAGCACAGAACTCTGAGGAGAAGTTACTGAGTTGTTCTCAGCTCCTTTAACTCATGGCCTGATCTGCGTTCTGCTACCTTGTGTTTGACCTGGTTTGTCTCCTGACTCTGCTGCATCCAGATCTTTCATTGATGACTTTGGCTTGTGTCCTGACCTCATCTTCTGTCTGCTGATTTAATACCTGTCTGATACTGACACTGCCCTGCTACTGCCTTCCCATCTGGTAAGCTGTTCAAACTCTGGCTTATCTTGACTTTAGCTTACTTTCTGCACCTGCAGGTTCCTATGCTCCACCTGCGTACTAGCATTTTGCACATGAGAATCCACAGCATCCCAGCAGAATCCAGACTATCTTCAGATCATCCGCTGTGTCTGGACCCACCACAGGTGCTTGTGTCACTCCTCATACTGCTTCACACTGTTACCAACTCCAAGGGGTATTTGACAGAAGGGGCTTGGCCTCTACCAGCTATGTGACGCCATTATGGGGATTAGCATAGGTAAGATACACAATACCATCCACAGCCAGCAGCAGAAACCTTTCTTGATGCAGGAAGGATTCCTGTCCCTCCTTGATGGTAAAGAAGCTGAAGTACCTAGATAATGTCCAGTGGTGTATGAACCAGGAATTTTGACGAGAAAGGGATCTCATAATGTAGAAGGAACCAGCTACAATGAAGTCACAATGATGATGATGACTGAACCCCTTGAAGATGGAGAAAAAAGTCCTTGTCAAGCAACTGATGATGGAGTTATGCTGGTTAATGTTGACCACAAGTGAGGTGCAATTTCCAATGCCAAAACCTGAGCCTTATGGATTTGCAGGTGTATAGCCCCTCAAGAAGTTGTCCATCCATGCTCACAGTGACGGCTTTCTTCACAGAAGGTTTTCTCACAAGAAAGCCAAGAAAAGACTCTAGGATAGTTAACTGAGCCCAAGCTTTGAGAAGTACAAGGTGTGCAGGGGTGCAACTCAGGATTTAAAAACCTAATAAGGCAGAGGACAGCCAATGTTGGGCACAGTTAACCAGGCAGGTCGGGGGGTCCCTCTGGAGAAGGAGAGAGATTACATTAATAAGTACTAGGTACCCATGATGACTATACATGGAAGAGGATTTATCAGAGGGAGAGGGTAGTGGTCAGAGTGGTGCACAACTCCAGAGGTAAAACTGACATAGCAACTACAGCCAGAACCTCTAAGTTGAGGAGACCCCAAAAGAACAGGAAACAGTCCATTATTCTGTGCGGGTGGTATTAAGATTCTGGAAAAGGTGTTGGCTAACCACTTAATAGGAGTTATTACCCATCTAATACATACTGATCAGGCTGTCTATAAACATTCAGACCCCTGCTAATTACTTGGGAAGTTAGGTACTACTGTAGCTAGATGCCCCCAAGGCATTCAACAACATTGAATAGCCTTATCTGTAGAAAGTGTTGAAGGGTTGTGGCTTTGGTGAAACATTTATCGTCTGGGTGCAATTACTATATTTCCTTCCCATGGCCAGTTATAAGAAGGGGGATCACTTTCTGAAAGTTTCAGATTCCATAGAGGAACTAGTCAGGGATGCCCTTTGTCACCCCTCCTATTTGTTAATGCCATTGAACCTTTCGCAATTATCACCAAAGAAAACCATGCAATTGTAGGCTCTTGTTTTGGCAATATTCATGAAAACAAATGCTTTAAGCTTACTATATGTGGTTAAGGATACTATTAAAATTTTTTGGAGTTTACTCAGGGCTCACTACATTGGACTAGGAGGGCCCTATACCTACTTGTAGGATACCAGTAGCAGAGAGTATCCTACAAGTATCTTTACTGCAAGTATATATATATCTATCACAGAACAGGAAGCCCATTTAATATTCTTAATAGCCCCCCGTGAGGACCTTGAAGGTCTGCTCAAGGAGTATTGGAGACAGTTCCAGGATATTATGGCACATATACAGTATTGTGATACATATGTATATACATATGGGCAGCACAGTGGCTAAATGGTTAGCACTTCCGCCTGGCAATACTAGGGTTGTTCGTACGAATCCCAGCCACGGCACCTCCTGCCTGGAGTTTGCATGTTCTCCCTGTGCCTGCGTAGGTTTCCTCTGGGTACTCCGGTTTCCTCCCACGTGCCAAAGACATGCTGGTAGGTTAATTGGATCCTGTCTAAACTGGCCCTAGTATGTGTATGTTTGAATGTGAGTTAGGGACCATAGAATGTACGCCCCTTGAGGGTTAGGGACTGAGTTGAATGTACAATATATATGTAAAGCGCTGCATAAATTGACGGCGCTATATAAG